CTGTTATACAGCCTACAGTTTCACTCATTCAAGTTCAAGGACTGCTTCGATTCACCCCTTTATTTACACATACATTGACTCTATTCGACTTGCTGAGCAGCCATGACGTATCCCTGGCCGTATTCACTACCACCACATCTACAGCAGCAACCACATCTACAGCAGCATCCGCAACAGCATCCACTTCACGCGACACAGCCAATACAATCCCATGTCCACACACATCCCACACTGCCACCTCAACCTCAACCTCATCAACCACATCAACCACATCCACCGCATACGACAAACCAATCACCACCCACACCATTACTACAACCACCACCTCCAACAACTGCTCCACCACATGCCACCAATCCAGCAGTGACCGCCATACCACAGCCTACCACACCGGCTCCACCACCACCACCACACACTCCAGCAGCCCCGCAGCACATTGCCATTTCCGCTTCAGCTCACCATACTCCACCACAACCACTACCGCAACCACAAGTGCCACAACTCACACCTCAGCCAACTGCACCACCAACTGCACCTCAGCGGGGAGTCACAGACTACGCCTTTCAGGCTTACAGTCACGCCACCACACTTTACGAAGATACACGTTCCCACAGCACCCAGCACCAGCCACAGCACAGCAGTTGATGCAGCTCTATGTGACAAGAGGTCATTCCAAAGAACATTGCGCCGCGGCGCTGCGGCCACAAGGAAAAGGACCATGCGCCGGCAGACTCGCAGTCCTTCACTTTACATTTTACAATTTACAATTTACAAGACCTTTCCGACGTCCTGCCCTACCACTATTCTATTTATTACACAGGTATTTTCTGATCCGGTCTATTTGCGCCGATTCGGCTCATTGTGTGTGTCCACTCCTGTTTCCAAGGACACTACCCTAACTCTTTCTAACCTGCCCTATGACTTTTGTGACCAATGTGCAGCAGCAGGGGGCCACTCCACCCACCACCAGGGAGTGGCCAACGAAGAGCCTGGTGGTGTGGTGCGGAAAACGTACCTGCCATTTTAGAATTGTTTCAATCGTTTCACTTGCATTCTTGTTCAACAATACTGTTACTCGGACCCAGCATTTTTTTCAGTCAAGGTCTAACCTGCAGTAATCTTAAAGGGCTAATGCTCACCGCGAAGCAGCCTGAAATCGCGCTCCACGGAGCAACCTACTCAAGTGTGTGTGCGCATTCATGATTTGCCAACTGGTTGGTGGTGTTTGTTCGTTCAGGATACCCTCCGGCAAATGATCATGGACATGAAACAATCCTGAAGACAATTTGCAACTACTTTCCTCTCAAAAACAGGTGGTTTTGGCAGGGTTTAAGTTTTTGGACATGGTAAAGTTTTTGGACATGGTAAACTTGGAGGGGACTTTTGGGGCCAAAACTAAGAGCTTCCCCTCCGAATCACGGCGGAACCGCGCGATCGCTCGCCATGAGCGATGCCGCTTTTGGTGGAGCAGCAGCTGGCCTTGTGGAATCAATTGTCGTGCAGCCCTTGGACATTATCAAGACGAGGTTTCAACTGAGCAAAGAAGCTCGCCGGGCACGATCGGGCACGTGCTTTCTCAGTTCCTTTATGTCTCTTGTTTTCTTTTTTTTTTTGGGGGGGGTTAGTCATGTATATATATATATATGACATATGTTTTAAAATGTGTCAGCAACCCTAGCCTTCAAAGATTATCGTTAAAAGGGGTTGACCTGTTACGTAGTCAAAATTATGTTTTGTAATGGCCATTAAAGCAATGGTGGTTGAAATCCTGGAGTAGTATATTGTTTGTTTGGCTGAGACTGACAGGATACCTGTTTGTAACACTTCACACGAGTTACATGCATTTGCTAGTAACAGGAACACCAGATATAGAGTGGTGTTTTTGCAGGGTCATTCATTGAATCACGTAAGGAAGCCAATCCCCGACTGTCGCAGGCGTTTCGCCTCATTCTGGCAGAAGGAGGAGTGTTGCGCTTTTATCGGGGGCTTTTGCCAGAGATGATTGGGAACATTCCCACCCGTACAGCGATGTATGCAGGAAAGGACTGGGCGAGCAAGTTCTTGGCAGGCCATGGCTATCCAACAACCTGTTTCCGCGAGCTGCTGGCGGGCATTTTTTCTGGATTGCCGGAGGCCATTGTCACGACACCCTTCCAGGTCGTCAAGATTCGAATGCAGAACAAGGAGCTGGTGAAGCTGTATGCCAATGACTTGGACTGCTTATTGAAGGTTCTTTCACAAGAGGGGCCACTGGCTTTGTTCACTGGCTTGCAATCCACGGTGCTTCGGAATTCCATTTGGAATGGAGTGTACTTTGGATCGATTTGCCTGATTTCCCAAGCCTTAGGTCCTTCAGCTGATTCCGTCCTGGGACACCTCCAGTCCCTGGCTACCGGCTTGGGCGCCGGGCTCTTCGCCACATGTTTCAACGCACCTTTTTATGTGGCCAAGAGCCGCATACAACAATCCAGTGGGCCGACCAGGACGACTTCGCAGGTCTTGCTGCACATCGCCAAGGAGGAAGGCCCCCGATCTTTGTACAAAGGGTTTACACCAAAGGCATGGCGGATGGGAGTTGGAGGTGCAGTAAGCTTTGCCACCTTCGAGTTTGTGAGAGCATTTGGGCAACGATGAGTCTCATGAGACCAAATCGGTACATCTCTAGAAGCCATGCTGTTATCAAACACCGCTTGCTGGTTTGCCGAACCACCTTCCAGAAAGTTTCTCACGAGAAGCACTCGGTCCACTCGACAAACACCACATACCACCTATGTACATATGTATATATATATATACATATGTGTATATATATATGATGTATGTATGCATGTATGTATGTATGTATGAATGTATGTATGTAATGTATGTAATGTATGTAATGTATGTAATGTATGTAATGCATGTAATGCATGTAATGCATGTAATGCATGTAATGCATGTAATGTATGTAATGTATGTAATGTATGTAATGTATTAATGTATGTATGT